AAAATGGCCAGCAGTAGCAACTATCACGGCAACAGCCACTCGACAACTTTATGGGATTTGAATCAAGGGTTGTGCTTTCTCTGGCTACAACAGGGGGAGGGATGAGGTGGTGGTGGTGGTGGTGGGTTGAGGGAAGGATAATAATTTCGTGGGTGGTCTGGGCGCCACATGTGGCACCCCTGCATGCCGCACTTAGGTGCGAATGGGTGCATATTTATGGATACAGATACCGGGATACTCAGCAGAAAAGATACATTTATTGCTATGCCATAAACTTTGAGTAATAAATTTCATTTTTATTGTTCTGACTGACTCTGGTTGACTGACTGACTGCCTTTTTCGGGATACCTCGAGTGCCCGGGAAATCACCTTGTTAAGGAGGGGAAGGAGGAGGGTAAGGGTCTCTCTGCCAAATTGGCATATTTATGACCAAAAGCAGTTTCACGGAAGGCGCTGCCAAAATAGCAAAAGCGATAAACGACACTTGAATGAACTGACTAAACTGTGAAAGTCTGATATATATACAGACTATGTATGTGTGTGTGTGTGTGTGTCGATGTGCCGGGGTGTGATTTATATGGCCAAGCAATCGGTGCCGAGCCAAACCAGTTTGAGTCTAAGTTTCTTTTTAAAACGCCTCGCAAGATGAATGTATCTTAAAGTTTGTGCCGTTCTGCTAATGGTTTCATAAAACCCATTGCATATGTGCTGGCCGAATGCCGAAGATGGATCGGTTTGCATCTGTCAAGGTGTGAGATATGGCCAAGAATGGCCTCAGACGTTTGCCAGCAAATTCAAACCGGTTGAATGGATGGCTACATCGTGAAAAATTGGTGAAAGAATATTCGTTTAGAAGGAAAGATATGACTGCTAAAGAATCAAAAAGATGGAGTCGTTCCTTGGAGAACGCAAATAGAGATAAACGAGATACATTTGTGCTAGAAATATGTTACCTCCAAATTTAGCAGTAAAATCTGGAGCATAAATTCCTTAAAGGATCAACAGTTTCTGAACAAAATGAAAATCCCCTGTAAGGTCGTTATAACCCATCCATATTCCTGAAGCACTCGTGCCAAAAAGGGACGGGCCAAACTTTACCGTATCCTTAATTGACTTGACGCCGATTAACTGTAATGTATCTTGAGGATATAATACATAAGTCGCACGCTTGCATATACAAAAGGGCACACCTACTGGCACGTAAAAGCACACCCAACAGCCAAGAACCTTTTTCATGTTCGGCTGCGTTAAATACACGCTCTACAGTTTGTTAAGTTCATTTAAAGTTCTGATCCCAGTCTGAGCGACGGCTTTAAAATCATTTCCTTTTTTTTTTTTTTTTTGGGTTTCATGTTTTTTTTTTGGGGAGAGGCGAAAAAGCTTTGGCCTCCTACAACAGCAGTAGCAGAAGCGGCAGCGGCAGCAACATAAATGGGAGCAGCTTATGGGGCTGAGTTTAAAACCGACATGCTCACATATGCATGCCCTGTGTGTGTGCGGGGAGGCAACTTACATATGTTATTATCGCACAAACTCGCAAATTCTCGACAGAGATAGAGCGAGCGAAACGAGCGGAGAAACTGCGCGCCAACGACTCCCAAATGTATGCTACGTTTTTCAGCATTTTTCATGCTGCGCTGCGATGCGCTGCCTGCGTCGACCTCAACGTCGACGTCGACGTCAGCGTTTGCGCCAACTAGCAGGACATCATTCCCAACGGACGCTCATCATATTTATCCTGGTCCTTGTCCAGGACTTTCTTCCTGCCGCTATTGCTGCTGTTTCTTTTGCTTTTGCTGCTGTTTGTTTTGCAGCTCGTTGACATTTCATGTCACTGTGTCACCGGCATAAAAAATTAAAAGTATAAAAATGATGCAGACCTCTGTGAGCCAACTCAGTAAGCCACTCCCACTCCCCCCACCCCCGCTCACAACCCACCACCCCCCTCTCTTCCTTTCCCCCTCCAACTCGACTCTCCTTGGGCAAATCGCTGGCATTATATGCGTAATAAAAACTTGCGGTCTGCCCGCCCGCCTGGCAGCCTGCCTCTTGTTGTTGACCTTTTCGTGGCATTCGTCCTGCTCCTCAAAGCAAGATGGTGGCAGCAAAGGATTCCTCAGTGATAACGGGCGTGGTTGTGGAGGATTGACACTTTGTTGTGTAGTTTGCTCTTTGGCATTCACCTTAAGTGCGGAAAAGGGTATCGTGTACTTTAAAAAGTTATCGCATGAATGATTAATGAGATGTAAACTGCTTGCGGATATAAGAGAAAATAATAGATAAACTATAAATGAGAACAAATAAAGCAAAATAATATTATTAAACAACAGTATATGTATATAATTATTAAAAGTAATCAAAATACATAAATCAATTCCTTTTGTTCAACTTTTCATTAACGCTTCTTTAACATTCTAAATTTTTGTAAGAGCATTCACATATCAACCAACTTTCCGCACACTTGCTGACCAACATTTTGTTGGCTTGTTTTAAAAAAGTTTTGTCCGACAAGGTTGAGGGTCAGATGGAAGCAACGCCCGCATCTGCTGCGTCCAACTTGGGCAGAAGGGGGCGTGTGTGCGTGACAGACGCCGTTCTCGACTGTCGACTCTACCCCCCACCACCACCACCCACCTCCCCTTCCCCCTGCTTTTGACCCCAGTTGTTCTTGGCCCAAAGCGATGCCTGTTTGCTGCTTGTCTGTCAGCCAACAAGTTAGTCATTTTCTGTATCAAAAAAAAAAAAAAAAAACACAAAAAATACAAAAATAAAACGCAAATAAAAAACTTTTACGACATATTTATCTTTTTCGTTTTTATTCTGCCGCCCGTCGTCCAACATCCTGACTTCGACTTTGTCCCTATCTGATATACTGTATGTGTGTGTGTGTGGGTGTAAGTGTGTTTGAGGGGAAGGTGCATAAAGGTTGATACTACTTACATATACGCACTCAACTGTGTGATGTATCATTTGTTTTACATGGTCCAAGCGAGGGAAAAAGACTTCGATTTGTCACCATCAGAGTAATGAAAAACAATCAGCAAAATTGCCGGGCGGCAAACTGAAGCTTTTCTGATTGGTTTTCTCCTGCTGCCGGGTCGGAATTTAATGTTAAGTGCATATGGCAAATGACAGTCGGAAGATTAAGTAAACAGTTGGCGATTTGCCTGACAAGATTAGATTTATTAAATCAGAATATATTTATTAAATTGAGGCTGAAGATAGATGGGCTGATGTCTTAGCTTCCAAATTGCATATTTATCTAATTTTACCATCAAAGAGATCTAAGGGTAGTTCCTCACAAAATTACTTTTGCTGCCAACGCAATGTACATATGATATTACGTTCACATGGTTCGTTGAATTAGGTGCTTACTGTAAAAAACTTATGCATGAATATGGAGTTTTATTTTTGGAAGTCCTTCTCATCTTTTGCAAATTTAATAGAACTATGATTTCTCTTCTGCTTTTGATTTGGTATTCTTCCTTTGGAGTTAATCTGAAGCTTAAGCCGTATAATTTGTGCTATCTAGACCTCGCACATAAAATACTTTCTGGCCATATATCATAACGTATAAAATATATATATGACTTATCCGAAGCTTTGAGCTGACTGGAAATAACTTACAGACTTAGGCGAATGGAAACGGGATTGAGTGCCAGTCTGCTAGGGCTCTCTACCATTTTTTTTTTCGCTTTTCGTTGGCCCTAGTTTTATGGCTGGTCGTAATGTGCGCAGGTACCCACACTCCGGCACACTCAAGGTAAACCGTCGGGAGTCTTAAAGCTCAACAATCGTGCTAATGGCCCGTACTCGTCCTTGTCGCCGTCGTCTGGTGTGGTAGGGCTCCATGGCGGAGCCGAAAGTTTTTATTTGTTATTATATACTTTGGCGTGTCAAATAAACATCACACATCTAGCGTACATGAAACATGTTTTATATGCGACTTCTCTGCGGCTGTTGAGGCCTCTACGTGTTGTGGTTGCGCACTTTCTTCCAGCTTTCATCCAAGTAGAGAGAAAAATGGGTTTAGAAGGTCATAGTTCAGCTTTATAAAAAGGAATACATTTTATTTATTTAAAATATTTATAGATACTGCTTAGGAACAGATAATACTTTCTTTTAACCAAAATCGATCTAAACAGAATTTAATAAAGGCTTTTATATATTTATATATGTTCTTATTTAGTTTTGAAACTTTTTTCACGGTGCACTTTTTTCTTTTTAGGGCTAGGCATTTCCATGTGTATGAAAGATTGCATGGCAATGGATGAGAGGGGGGAGGGGGAGGGGGTGTGGGTTTTTGGAGGTACTGTGTCACACGACTGCGGCTCATTTGCATGAGTTGTCGCAGGCTTTTAGTCGAAAACTTCCTCCGTTGTCGTTGTGGCGTGTTGGCGGCGGAGCGAAGGGTGTTCGCTTAAGCCAAAATATCAACATTGGTTCAAAAGTATAACGAAAACAATTAAATCAAGTTAATTGTTTTTACCCGTAGGCGTAATGAGAGAAATTGAAGAATTCACACGATTCTAGTAATGGAGTTATATCCTGTGTGGGGGTACAAGAGGGCTTAAAATGTAATTTTTACTTGTTTGATCTATCTAAGCCAAAATAGAAGATAGTCCCCTGAATACGAAATATACATGCTTCAATTTTAATCTGATGTGTCTCATTAAAACAGGTTGTTTTTAATACCTGATACCAAATGTTTATATATATTTTAATATTTTGTATATATATTTTTTTGCATCACTGTGCGACTACAACGCGTGTGGGCTAACGTTAATTTTATGCCATTTCATTTGCTTTCGCTTTCGGAACGTGTGATTTATGCAAAGCAGCAGCGAATAAACAAATGCCCCCGGCCAAGGTGTCTCCACACGATGGATTTATGTGAGCCGACGTGCCGAAATGAAATGGGGGCCACTAGATTATAAGATTGTATCCGTGGATCGCACCTGTCTCAACCACAAACCACTTTGTTCTTCTCTCCGTTGCAGGATGCACCTGTATTTGGTGCTGATCTCGTGCCTGGTGAGCTCCACGCACTGCTGGCAGTTCGACGGCGGAGGTCATCGGCGGCCGAGGAACACGGGAAGGGGTCCACCATCCCCATCGGGTGGCAGGGGATCAGCCGCTCTTCTAGGATCCCAGCAGCAGGACATCCTCTACGCCTGTCCGCTCAACTCGATGTGCCAGTGCGCCGGACTTCCCAACGAGACAAGCACCCTGATTGAGATTAATTGCAACGAGGTGGCCCTGTACAAGTTTCCAGGTAAGCGGACCCCGTCTATATCCACCGATTGCCCCAATATCCTGGCCTCCACATGTATCGCCTGTCAATGTGTCCTTCCACCTTGTCACGCTTTATTTATGTGGCAAATATTTTCATTGCCAGTCGGTCATAAATTGCCTTGGCCACATCACGGGCCAAGGACTCGCTGGCCTTCTTCCTTTCTCATTTCTCCTGTTTCCCCTTTCCCTTCCCCTTTTCCACAATTCCCATTTTCCCTTTTGCCATTTTTCCCAGACCAGTGAACTGCCTTTGGGGTCTTTGTGCTCCTGTCGCCTGCAGCCCGAAAAATGTAATTTTTTAATGAAGCCTCAAACAGCTTTGTCGCGGCCCACAAATAAAATGAAATCTTACATTTAAGTTTGCCAATTAGTTGTAAAAATAAAGTTTCCTTTCGTTTTATTTTGTTTTCCCCGCTTTGTATTCCCTGGTTTTTATTCTCCCCTCGTTCTGTTTCCTCGGACAAAGTTTTATAACGATTGCTGTGGCAAATTCCACGCAAATTTTGGTAGTTTTTATACCTTTTATTTATTATGTGCAAGGGTGGATTGTTTTATAGCGTGTAACATATGCTCTTACTTCGAGATCATTATGGGGAAAGTTGGTTGAGTTAATGAATTTTATGATAAGTGTGGTAAAAAATGTGAGTATTACGAACCTATTATTTGAATACCCCATCACTACGAATTTAAACAGCTAAAGTTTAAAGTAGTTAATCTAGTTCCCACTTGTGGAAAACTTTCTGGGATATAACAAAGGTTTTAAGTTTGTCCTTCATATTTCATTATAAAGTTTACAGTTCCTTTGAATTTCTTATAGTGGGTATGATATATTCGTAAGACTCTAAAAGACTTTGCTCCCTTCTTAAGTAATGAATGAATGGCAAGTTTCCATTGCTCCATTGTCATTTTCCATTTCCATTCCCAGCGCAAAATGTTTCTCATTGCGGTGGCTTCTTTTCTGCACGCTTTGTGTATGTTTGAGTCTTGCGTTGAAAATATTACCATTCTACACTCCGCTTCTTCTTCGTTAACAACTGTGACACGCCCACAGAGTCGCCTTTTTTGGCCAAAAGTTGCCGCATAAAGTTGCTAAAAATAAAAAAATAAAGGAAACAAAATAATAAACAAAGTTGTTGACTGGCAAAACACACAAAAATTGGCCAGACATTGGCAGCACCGGGAATAGAGACAGGAAGAGTGGAGTACTATTGAAAAGTTTGTCTCCAGCTCGATGGCTTTCCCCGGAGAATGTGGGAGGCGGGGGGCTGGACGAAGTAGCCACTCCGCATTGCCAATTTATCCTTCGTTTCTTGTGCAAAACTTTCCAATTGCATCTGCATTGGCTTTTGCTTTAATGAAAAACTTTAAAATATTACGACTAATCGAATTAAAACGAATGGCACGTCGGACAAGCTTTCCCAAATCAAAATTTGTTTATATCCTTTTCTTCGTGTTTCCTAGGAAAATAAAGTGTGTGTTTTTACAGCTTTAAGCACTGCACTCCAAACAGATGTCTCAATTTTAAGACATCCACAATATGAACGTTTACATACGCATATACATATATACATATATGTATAAAATATATATCTATATTTGACGACGTTGATGGGGATGTTAGCGACAACGATTGCATTTTAGCAGCAGAAGAAATGTTGCAGCTGGAAAACTTTTGGCAATTAGCAATTCTAATGCAGACGGACACACAGAGAGATGCGAGAAAGGGGAAGAGAAAACACTTTGGTTGACAGCCTGGCTAATTGCGTGCCACGCCCCCACCTTCCCTCCTCCCACCACCGCCTTCCGCCAGCCATCCCCTCATCGAATCAACTTCCTGGCTGGCATGTCACCATGTGGTCGAGAAAACCCGGAAAAAAAATATCCAAAACTATGCACCCAGAAATTTTTTGAGGAAGGAGAAGAACCGAAAAAGGAGGGAGGAGATGGAGCAGAAGTGGATTTGACAACTGTAACTGGGGACCCAAGGACTAGTTGAAAATTCATTTAATATCTCAAAATTTCCATTGCGTCGCTGGCGCACAGAAATTGCAGCAGTGGCACTTTTGTTCCTCCACAGCTCTGAATATGTTCGTAATTTAATGTTGAATTTCTATTGTCTATTGCTTGGATGTGCAGGAGGGAATAGAAACAAAAAGAAAAAATGTAGAGCTACAATTTAGATTTATTTTTAATGTTTCATTTTGGGAACTGCTCCTGCCGGTCACTTTCACGCTTGGCCAGAGGCTTTTTGGTAGATAACAGCATCCTTGGTTCGATTCGGCCGCAATTTTCATGCCCAAAACTATTTGCTAGTGACCGAAAAACCGAAAATGAAAGACGACAGTTTGCCCACATGCCGCACGTTTCCTGCTCCCGTTTCGTACTCTCTCTATATTTTTTTTTTTTTTTTTTTGGTTTTTGTTATTGCCCGGTGCAGGACAGAAACTATATGGATATAAATGGTAGCTTCCCAGGCCATCACACCCACTCGGTTCCTGTCTTTAGTTGCCTTCCTGAATGCCGGGGCAAAACAATAACTTTTCAGCTGACGTAATCTTCATCAACACACGGACGCACAGGCTCTAAGGCTTCAGTTTTGGCTGTCGGTTGGTAGCAGATTGGTCCCCAGTTCCAGCCAGCTTTAGTTGGGTTATAGAGCCCAAATTGCTGAAATGGTTGTGTTAAAATTTGGGACTATGTACCAAGACAGGTTTTGTCGCATCACCTAAAATGACTTTCCTTTTGGCCAGCATACAATGGCTCTCAAAATATGTGCATGTGGTTTTTAGCATTGGCTAGCAATTAAAACAGGAAAGAATACTGAGATACGTTAATGTCATTAAGAAGAGAAAACCAAGATAGAAAAGAGCTATATTTTAAGATTTTATGTCATTAAGAAAAGAAACCCAAGATAGAAAAGTGCTATATTATAATATTATATGGTTTCCAGCCCACAAAAAACTGGATTAACAAATGCTTGCCACATTTTGGGAGTTTTAAATATTATTTTATAAACCTTTCAAAGTTATTATGGTTTTTGCATGGAGTTTAAACAAGACAAAGAAATTGTCGGTGGTCTCGGTTGAGTTAATTTTGCATCTCTATGCTGCCAGTGCCCCTTTTTGCTCCTACTAACACTTTGTTGTTTGTGCTTTATTTCGTTTTTTCATATAGTGCTCGGTGGGGCAAGTTGAATAAACACTTGCCAAGTGACGCAAAACGAGACGAGAGCGTTGGACGTGGACGAGAATACAAACAATTGGGGGGAGGATGTGAAGTTGTGGGGGGTGGAAAAAGGTTGGGGGATAGAAGTTGGCAGCGGACTTCGCTGGTCTGCCTGGAAGCGAAAGTAAATAAATAAATATGCTTGGCATTTTGTCAGAGAATTGACTTGCGGCCATAAAGCACAAGCCAACGTACGAGAAGGAGTCTTCGTCCAGGAAACGTATCCCCCATTCCACGGTATCCAATAACCCAGTCCCCCAGTTTGCTCCCCGAGTTCATTTCAGTTGTTGGACCCTCAGGCACGGCGGCTAGAAGTTTATTAACGCCATATGTGTTGTTGCCGTTGTTGTGTTGGTGTTGGTTTGTCCACTCATAACAAAACACTGGCGTAGTCGCTTAGATATGCACACGCCCCCGCACACACACGTACTTTATATACATCCATATGTCTTGTATATATATATGCGATATATATCGTGGTTATATAGTTGGCCCTGCATGAGGAATGCGCTGGACTTGGCCACGTGTTTGCTGCTTGGTCAAGGGAGGCGCACGCGTGTCAACAGGGCGTATGATTAATATTGTATTAATATGCGATATGTAATTAAGATGTAAGCTGCTCTGTGTTTATATTACTGTTTGTGGGCGGTCGTGCCGCGCACACGTTTGCATTGACACTGGAATAAACAACAATCTAAACGTATCAACGATACGATCTAGATCACAGTAAGCTTAACTTTATGCAACCAAAAGCTGACAATTCAATATGGTCAACATTTAAATTCTTCGAGATTGAGCAAGCAATAATTAAAGAAACAAAGAATGGTAAAAAAAAATGCTTGCCATTGACTTTTTTTAGGAGTCCTTTCAATGTATCCTCTGAAAATTTTTTAATTGCCAACAAAAATTATACACTCCATTAGAAGATTTAAATTGAATCACCAAACATAACCAGACAATAACTTACTGAAATTTCTTTTTTCGAGTTATCATAAATTTTGTAACGATCACTCTTCGTTTCCGGCGATTTGCTCCTGGTTCCTGGTTGCTCCTTGCCGGTTCTCTCCTTTTAATGTCTTCATTTTTTGTGTGACTCAGAGCAAGCCCGGGGAGACATCAAAGCCGCAATTAAATTACGATTCGTTGAGCATGTGTTAATTAAACAGGAGCAGCTGGGGAGGACGACGAGGAGAGTCCTGGGGCGAGGGACGGCGCTCTCAAAGGAATTGGTCACCCAAGGCGACTCTCGCATGGAATTGGAGCTCCTGACAATCACACCCGCACACAGACACAAACACACACACACACACACGGAGTAGCTCACAAGGAAGGTGTGCGGGGTGACCATGTGTTTTAGCCTGATTATGGTAACGGCTGCTGCCGACCAAAGGGAATTTCCATGTCATGCTTGTCAACTTAAATTATGGCCTGACCTTACCTTAAGCATTCTGCGGGCGGGGATTGGAATGCCAAAACCTCCACCACCATCACCATCACCCCCCGAAAACCACCACCCACCTCCCTGTCCATAATCTCAACCCGTTCGCCGACATGGTAAATATTTTTCGGTCGAGTGGCGTGGCTTTTTCTCACTCACTCTCTGCTAGAAATGCTGCCACAAAACTGGAGAAGGAACTGACGTGCAACATGAAAATGCACTTTTCGCTTTTAATTGAAAAATTTCCTCCTCTCCTCTCTTCGGTTCGGTGTTTTGTGTGTTGTCATTTTTGGGCTTTTCTCCGAACCTCGAACCCCGCAAAAGCGAAGGCATACCTATCTATTTTTATAAGCCGTTTTTCCACCGCATTTCCTATGCATTCATTCCTGTGTGAGTATCTGCCGTCTGCACTAAATGCGAATATCACGGACGCATTAAAGCCAAAGCGAAATTCGCGACTAATCCCAGATTGTCGGAGATTGACTTCGGTCGTCAACGTTTTTGGCATAACCGAAAAAAGTGAAACAAACTTGACTGCCGAGCGAAATAATTAAACATCAATTTGATGAGTTGAAACTGCAAAAAAATGCCGAATACTAGGGCATCTAGACAAAGAGTAAAAAAAAATACCGCACAAAACGAAAACTGACCAACAATTGATTGTTTCTTATAAATATTCAATGCGCCAAAGAGTGCAAAAATCAATCGGTCTATGTTTGCCTATTTTTTGTACGCCATGGAATATTTAATAAGTGAAAACGCACTGATTCCCGATGAAACTTTGTTGAGGTTTGACTGGCAGGGAATTAAGCTCGAAAAAAATATGCAAAATTCATGGAATCGTTCAGGGAAAAACTTTTGAAAATTGCAAATCGCTGAACTGTTTTTTCCTCAATAAACGAAAACGTTCCTTTATTATTTTTTTAAAGTAATTAAATCAACCTTGACATATTGTGAATTCATTGTTATTTAAGTAATGCTGCAATGGGCGAGGGTTTTCTTTCAATTTTTATTTAAATTAATAATTCATATTTTTCAATCGAATTGAGGGCTTACCCTCATGTGGAGGTAAATAAATTTTGGCTTACTCCCCTAATCGATTTGGCCATTGCCCCATAAAAATTTAATAAAACGAGCAAATCGAGTACGTTGCGATTCATTGTTATACTCGGCCAAGATGTCACTGTCCTGTCTTTGGCACAGCCATAAAATGAAATTTGTTGCCGTTTTTTGGGAGGAGGGGTTATGGGGATGGTGAGTCGGTTCCTTTCCTGCAGGCAGTGCCCGGATCCTGTTCCTCTGGTCCGACCGGAAAACGCGCACAAAAATCGAAAGCGTGGCCTCATCGCCGGCGGGGAGTTGGCTTGGGCTACAAGCTACGGGCGATGGTCCTCTGGTCGGTGGGTCCATTGTCTGATGGCACGCTGATGACCCATTTGCCTTAACGCGCCGGCGATCAAAACTGCCAAAACAAAAGCCATCATCGTTAGACGGGGAGGAGGAAGGACCGCCTGTCTATGCATCGCATCGCATCGGGCGGCACATTGGGAATTGACGATGGACCGGCATATTCCCTCGTTTATGGTAAACGCTTCGAATGCCGTTTAAAATCAATTTGAATGATGAACTGATGGCCAACATCGCGTCGAGGTCTCTCACTTTGTGGGGCGTCTCGGATGCTCTCGAGTACGTCCAATATCAAACCAATTTTCAGACACGTGGCGAAAAGCATTTCGCAATTTCATTGTCTTTCAGCAAAAAAAGTTACAAGATGTACACATATAAAGATTTTTTTACTTTATTTGTTATACTTTCAAAATTTAAAGAAATTTGTATAAACCCTACGCAGATAAAGGTTAATTGCAGAACCTATTAAAAGTTATGAAAACTCATTTAGCTGTTCTTAAGAATTAGGTTCTTTGGTTAGGATTAAATTTCAGACCGCCAAATAAATTTTCTTGAGAAATGCTTTATTTAAAGACTGCTGTTTAACAGTAAACAAAGTTAATTGATTTTCCTTGAAACCTAATTCTTCATTTACATACTTCTGTGCCTCAAATCTGAGATGTTTCTTCTGAAAAATTTGTTTTTGCAAGCTTGTAATATTTTCCATCTTATTGTTTCCTTTTCCTCCGCAGAGTTCATGCACAGCAGTGTGCGCTACATCGAGATGTCTAACACGCACCTGCAAAGTGTCGACGATGAGACTTTCCAGGGACTGCGTCTCAAGACTCTGAAGCTAATCGACAACGAGCTGCAGGATATTTCCGAGCGGAGTTTCAGGTGAGTGCCCACGGGAAGGTTGCAAGTCACGATGGTGACCCAAAACGCCCATCTGCCATGGGAATGATGACAGGACAGTTGGCCGGCCTATTTACATGACCCCTTTTTTCACCTGGGTGCATGTATGCCTGTGAGTGTATGTGTGTAAGTGTGGGTGTATGTGCGTGCGTGTGTGTCTGCGAGTGAAGAGTGCTTTGTGTATTTTTACAACATAAACCTGCAAGTTGTAAAAAAGGCGTAAAATTAAGTTTAACAAAGCGCGGAGCGGGGTGGCGTCGCGCTTTCAGCGGGGCACTCAGGCTGAAAATGCAAGCGGGAAATGCAAACTCACACACGCAGCGGAAAACGCAAAAAAAAAATCCAGAGAAAATGGAAAACTTTCAAGCGCTATTTGTTTGAGTGTAAATAATCACAAAAAGAGAAATGAAGTGCTAGACGAGGGGAGAAGGGAGGGAACTTCGAGGGCTAACACCGAACAAATAAATGCTCTAATTAGTTAAGTTTATATAAATTAAACCGAGTTATGTTAGTTAAAAGATTCTTAACTCAAAGTGTCTGCCAGGAGCACCATAAGAATTAAGAATTATGGAGAGATCGCTTCTAAAACATAAGATAATTTGTTCTTTTAAACATGTAACTATATAAGTATAAGTGATATATTAGTATCTATTAATATACATTTTCAAATAAAAGATTTACTATTGATTGCCAATTCATGGATACCTTTTAAAGTGTAAACAGTCAAATAGAAAAAAGTTAACATACTTCAAAAAAGTGCTTGTTGTGCTGACTGTAGTACAGTGAATACAAGCTCTTATTTCGTCAGCATTTTGTGATTCAGTTCACATTACACATCACACATTTGACTGAGGCTGCAACTTCCCGACCGCCTCCCTTTTGGCCACCTTATTTTCGTGTGTGTAGAAGAGAGAGGGAAGAGATCGTGGGAAAGAGTCGACCGCATTTGCCAGCCTTTTTGGTTCTTTTTTTCTGCTCTTCATCTTATACGCTTTTTGTTGCCATGAAATGAAACGCGAAAATTTTTTAACGAGCACAAAGGATAACCAGAGTTGGGGTCACGCCCCTTAACCGCAGGCAACCGCCCACCCGCACACACATTAAGCTGCTAAAGTTAAATGGATGCCCACAGTTAACGGCTGTGTGCAGTTTTCCGGAGGGGAAAATGCCAAAAGGGGGCGAGCCAACTGAAGACACAGTTACACACTCCGACGGCATTAAGAATTTAAATCAAACTAATTAATGCTCATATGCCTGGCGAATGTGGTTGAAGTCTACCTATGCCTCCTTCTTTTTCCATATTCACATTACCCTCTCTCTCTTGAGTATAATTTACCTTTTCTGCTTTCTTCATAATACACTCCCGCCACGATGTCAATTAGTGGAAAAGTTAGTCGGGGGATAAATGGAAAGCCACTAGACAACTTTCAAGTGGGCAATTTTTAAATATATATATAAATATACATATAAATAAGCTTCGTGTTTAAATATGCACTTAAACGGCTTTATTAAAATGTAATTAGTTTACTGCTTAACGGGGATTATTTTTAACGGTGTAGGAGTGTGATAAGCAAAAATAACTTTTTATAAAGCTTATTCTTTAATCACAACACCAACAAGTTATATTAATATCAACATTATTATAAAATTATATTATTAAATCCTATACAACATTGCACTGCATTCATATTACCTGTAAATACTGAATTTTTCAACTTTTAAATGTATTTATCACAAAATATAATCGACATATACTCAAATATGCACCCTCTTTTTATTTACTTTTGTTGACCCTCAACAACAACCCATGTTTGAGCAGCTACTCGCTCTTGACCGCATATGTGGCCAGTTAAAGTTTCATTCGCATGCAAGTATATATACATATAACATACATATATACCCAACTTTCCACTTCATACATTTGTGTACCTTTATAATACCCGTAAAAGGAGCACTCGGGAGAAGACTTGATTTCATTTCGGTTGCGGACTATGATACCATATGTAAAAGTTCTCATCAATATTTAAGCACTTATGTATTTCAAAAATTGCTAATTAATAATTTACAGTGCTACATTGCTAAATTAAACACACGCACATGTATCTGCTCTGTGTGTTTATTGGTTTGTTGTGTGTTACTTATTTTTGTTGCGTGTTCAGTTGCAAAGTGCCGATAAATGCGCAACTCTTCGGTATTCTATGTATACCGTATATATACTATATGTGTGTATACGTTTTATCTGAATGACAAGCCAGTGGAGTTTTTCGAAGGAGAAAACAGAATAAAGAGAACTATTTAAGGATAGGAAATGTTGGTAGTAAAACTCTTTAATTTTCTTAGAGATTTAATTAATGTCTACGTTTAAATTTAGGAACTAGACTTTTTAATTTTACCTAACATTTTGTATTTGATTCGTAATTACTTAAATTATTCTTTTTTATCAACTTTACAACAACACCTACATTTTCTCATTTTATAAGCTTGTTTTAAGTTTTTAAAACAACAAACCCGAAATCTGGAGAGCGCACTTATATTGTTTTAATCTCTTTTAAGTGAAATTCTGATTGTGCCGCCCTCGAAGGTTGACGATACGCCTAAATCGTTACCAATAGTTATTTAGAAGTCCTTTGATGACAAACACGCTTACACCGAATCACGCACACACGCAACCCAAAATGTCGGCCGCAAGGAAAGCCAGAATAACAGTAACAACTACCGGTAAATGGCCAAAGAAAGCCGAAAACAAAGAGCAGGGCTGAAAAGAGAGTGGGCCGAAGTAGTTGAAAGGGAGCCGCAAAAATTTGGTTTTGCGTTTGATTCTTCGTCGCATAAACAACAAGTCCCGGGACCAACAGCAAAATCAACAACACCAAGAACTACAAAAGGATGCCGCTGCACTGGTTTTTGTTGTTTTGTTGTTGCCGTTAAGGAGGAGGCTGAAGCTTGTTTGGAAAACCTCGTGGTTTTCATAATTGAGGTCGCTGTTTCCCCGAACTCTGTTTGGTTTTCTCTTTGCAGTACCCTGGAATGAAAATTAGAGTGGACCTCATGACTAATATCCTTTTTTAAATTAAGAAAACTTTTAAATATAAATAATATGAGTTATAAATGTTTTAGAATTATATTTTTTTTATTAATATTTTTATTTTAGTTATTTATTGTTATTTTGTTAAATTTTCAGTACATTTTTTCGTTTGGCCATATAGTAGGTCAACGTTGCGTATGATTATTATTTTTGCGTTGGCCAAGTTAAACTTCAAGTTTCATTAGCCGCAAATCTCTCAGTTTAATATTCAAGTCAACTGCAATAATAAACAAATAAAACTTAAAAGCAATTTGCATGCGTGACAAAGTTTATAACCACCTCGCAGGCACAAAACCCATTTTACAACTTTTTTTTACCTATGCCTTATGGGCCCTAAAAATACCTTATAAAAACATTATAAACTCTAGATTCCACTGTGGTCCACTCCTTTGCACATGTGTTTGTGTGTGCGTCTGTATGAGTTTGCGGTGCGTGTGTATAACTATTAATGGGGCCTAGAGAGGAAGTGGAAGGGGGAAGAGTGAGGATTGGGGAGTGGGAAATGGGGAGTGGGAAATGGGGAGTAAGGCAGCTGGGGTCGCCTGGGTCGCCGTTGCTACGCGTTAATTAAGTTTAAATATTTGTTTTCCGACTTGTGTGTAGGATATGTCAAAAGGCAGGCAGCACGTCAATTTATATGAGCCACGAGATGGGGATGTTTATGGGGCGAAGGGAGGTTGCAGACCCAAGCGGAAACTGTTGATAGTTGTGAACAAAAGTTTGAGTGAAAGTTTTAGACATTATATATATTTTTGATAACCAGTCCCACCCCAGCAGTAGCTCATGTGGAATGATTTAAATAATATTCGTATAGGCATCGCATGCGTCCTCGCTCTAATCTGATATCTCCCTTTGCAGCACGATGACACACTCGCTGATGACACTGGATATCTCCGGCAACAAGATGCAGCACCTGCCACTGGATGCACTGCAGCGATTGCATTCCCTCTCGCGACTGGTGGCACAACGGTGAGTCTTTGGATTTCAGGTTTCAAGTTTGACGGAGCCCCAGCAACTTGAAGCTACACTTGACATTAAACGATGGGTGGGTGGAATAGGGAAAGGGGCAAAACAAATTCAAATGCGTTCACGTAGAGCTGGGGGAATTTATTTGCTGCAATAAAATGAAGTGCTTGGCGGATTTGTCCTCTTTATTACTCTTTTACTAGAAAATAGTAATTTACTCACAACTATTTGTAAACGTGTTTTGTATTAAGAGAAGAGGAAAAGGCTATCTGGAGAATATTATCATCTCGTCTCATTAAATTTAATTTGTTTTATTTTTTTCTTTCCCAGTAATCACATCACCAGTTTGGATGGCAATTGGGATGCCCAGCACGATACCCTTCGATCGCTGCATTTATCCGATAATGATATTACGGAAGTTGCGCCTGGAGGTGGATCTATAGAAGTGATTTCCCAGAGTGACAATAGTTCTCAGCCCTCGAGCTTGGCAGCAGTTCAGACGAGATTGGAGACGAGTAATTCCCTGTACCCACCATCTCCAAGTTCTGGAGATAGAACAACAGGAGGCCGACCGTTCGAACAGCTGCAAAAATTACTCTGGCTGGATCTGTCCAACAATCGAATATATCACGTGGCCGGGAACTATCTTCCCCGATCTCTGGTGACCATGGACTTGTCCAGCAATCTTCTCACGGTTTTCCCCCAGCAACTTTTCGAACAACTTCCCGAGTTGCGAATCGTGAGCCTTAGGGACAATCTAATAAAAAAGTGTTCAGTGGAAGGAACTCCAAATAAGACCATTAAGAATGCATCTGGAACGCCTGGATCTGGGTCAGAATTGCATTGAAAGCCTAGAATCTGACTATTTCCAGCAAAACTATTCGGATGTTCATTTGAGGGCCTTAAATCTGGAGCAAAACTTCGTAACCCAACTCCCGGAAGCCGTGTTCAAAGCCACTGGAATAGCGCATCTCGTGCTGGCCTTCAATGCGATCGGTCGCATTCATCCTTCGGCCTTTGAGGGCCTGACTGAAACCCTGGAGTATCTGGATCTGGAGAGAAATCAACTCACCACAGTCCCAGTGGCCTTATCCTCACTGCATCGCTTGAAGTATCTCTATTTGACGTCCAATCAGATTAGTCAACTGAACAATCTTCCCTCGTTCACGGAAAATCTACGAGTACTAAGTCTAAGTGGCAATAACTTCTCGATGATCCCGGTTTTGGGTCTGAAAAACTACACACAACTATCCTACTTGAATATGGGCTATAATTCCATAACGGACATTCCAGAGGGAATTTTTGCGGTGGATTCCTGGGGCAGCAATTTGCAAACAATACTGCTGCGGAACAACAAGATAACCCACCTCCATTTGGGTTCCTTTGCGGGGTTGGAGCAGATTCAGGAGATCAGTTTGAGTTTCAACGACATCACCATACATCATCCGCTGGTTTTCGAGAATGTCTCGCGAACTCTCAAGATTCTGGAACTCTCGTTCGCTGTTTTTCCGGCCAGAAGTCTCGAGAGTCTCGATCCACTTGATGCTTTATTGCCACTTTCCCAATTAATTTGGCTGGGATTGGACAACAATAATCTAAAACAAGTCTCAAATGAATCCTTCGCGCAGATGAGGGAACTGAGCTACATAAATCTGAGCTTTAACCAGCTGAAGACACTGCCCCGCGGACTCTTTCAGTCCGATGTCCACAGCCATCTGGTTGAAATTGACTTGTCCTACAATGCCCTCGAGCATTTGGAGACGCAGACATTTCACAGCCTTGGGGATTTGCAAACACTTAATCTGCAATCGAATCGCCTGAGGACCATTGCCCGGCATGCATTTCACAACTTGGAGTTCCTACGCTACTTGGATTTGTCTCACAATCGGTTGGTCAATATTTCCCACGGTGCCTTCACGGTGATGCCCAATTTGGCGGCCCTGGATCTGATGCACAATCAACTGTGTTCCCTGTCCTTGAAGTCCTTTCTCTACGTTTCAAACACCACCACGCCACTGCGTCTGAATGTGAGTCACAATCACATAACCAGCTTCTACGATGAGCTGAGTAGCTACATGTACATCTACCAGCTGGACATTAGTCACAACCACGTGGCCAAGTCGGATAGCTTTACGAACCTGGCGAACACGCTGCGGTTCCTTAACTTGGCCCACAACCAGCTGGGCTCACTGCAGAGCCATGCCTTCGGGGACTTGGAGTTCCTGGAGATCCTCAACGTGGCCCACAACAATCTCACCTCGCTGAGGCGCCGCAGTTTCCAGGGCTTGAATAGTCTGCAGGAACTGGATTTGAGTCACAATCAGTTGGACCAACTGCAGGTGGAACAGTTCTCGAATTTGCGGAAACTGCGGATCCTGCGGATTAATTCGAATCGGCTAAGGGCACTGCCACGCGAGGTTTTCATGAACACAAGGCTGGAGTTCCTGGACATAGCCGACAATCAGCTGAGCGTTTGGCCAGTGCCGGCGTTCACGGACATTGGATTCACCCTGCGCTCCATTCAGATGGCCCACAATAATCTGGAGTACTTGGATGCCTCGATGTTCATCAACTCGCAGTTCCTGTACGACATCGGCTTGGCCCGCAACCGCATCACGATACTGCCGGACAACACATTCAGCTTCCTGAACAATCTGACCAACCTCGACCTGTCACAGAATCCCCTGGTGACGACCAACCTGCGCGAGGTGTTCGTTCACACGCCGCGCCTGCGGAAGCTGAGCCTCCACCACATGGGACTGTATGTCCTGCCCCCGCTGAAGCTGCCCCTCCTCTCCTACCTCGACGTGAGTGGCAACTATTTGCAGGAGCTGTCACCACTGGGTTCGCTGCGACACCTGCGCCACGTCAATGTGTCGCACAACAAACTCACGAACGCCAGTTGTGCGGCGGAGCATCTGCCGCCATCGGTGCGTGTTTTGGACCTGGCCCACAATCCTCTGCGGCGGATAACGCTTCACGATCTGGCCAGCTTGCGGCACCTGGCCGAGCTGAATATCCTGGACGTAAAGGTGGCCAATCCGCAGGCCTTCTCTAAGCTGCGTTCGCTGAGGAAGCTGCACGCCAGCTCGCATTCGAATCTCGGCGAGATTGTGGCCAGAATGCCGGGCCTGCAGCAGTTGAGGGTCCACTGCCTCGAAACGAATATCGGGCCGCAGCTTTTTGCCAAGTTGGTGAACAACACGAAAATCCGGCTACTGGAGCTTTATGGCAGCAATGTTCAGACGATTGCACCGGATGTCTTTGCCGGATTGTCGCGAAATCAGCGGCTGCAGGTGAAGATCTCGCACACCCGCATCTCCGACCTTCCGCCGGGCATTTTCTATGCGCTCCGCGAGGTGCCGCACCTGTCCATCGACATCTCGCACAATCGCATCAACGCACTGGCCGCCGACAGTTTCTATCCCAACAAGAGCTACTGGGATGCCGTGGGAACGAGGAGCATCATGGGTGGCCTCATCACCGCGCACAATCCACTCGAGTGCGAGTGCGGATTGGTCTGGTTTGGCCACTGGCTTCGCAGGTGGCTGAGGGAGTCCGCCCAGATCAAGGTCATCCAGAAGGACGACCTCAAGCGCATGGTTCAGGTGAGCTAAGCCCACTTGGCATTCCCTTTTCCACTTTCTGTTTAACCTTAAATCTTGATTTTTGGCCAAAAGTTACCCCTATCGATTGCCGATATGCGCGTAAGCTTTTATATGTTTTTTACAACCCTTTTTTATGCGATATTTGTGCAGAGCGGGCTAGTCACACTTTTATGGTTATTTTATGTTTGATAAGAAAAACAAATTGTTTTTATATACTACCACAAAATTTAATTCTTAATTTTAACTTTTGACCCATTTTATGCTAATTTAATTTTTGAAATTGGTTGAAACTAAAAACAAGAAAGGAAGCTATATACTCTTAAAGTAAAATTCAAAGATCGTAATTCAATCATAAAAATTTTTAAAAAATAAAAAATTAACTAATGATGAACTTGGTTACAGGCTTTAAATACAAATGTTTTGAGGTATGCATCTTCAAAATCGGATTAAAATTTAAAAAGTTATGGACCTAGAATTAGACAATTATTGCCGATTTTTCCATTTTTGGAAATTGTTTCATAAATTTGAAAGTGCTACAAAATCATTTTATGTAATTTAATAGCAGCAATGTTGATACCAGTAAAACAAGTATTAAAGCTGAAAGAAATTCAATTGCTTAATTTAAGCTTTGCATTAATATCCAAACTTCGGACAACCGAACTATACTTTTTTTAGGAATTATTACCGCTTAAATTTGTATTCATTTTTAATGAAATGTCTTACCTATTAATAGCGCGCCCGTGCCAACACTTGCCACGATCCGACTTCGGGTCGGCACCTGCCCATCCTGGAGATCTTTCCCGAGGACCTCCTCTGTCAGGCGAGTGCGTTGAGCAGTTCCGGCCAGCGCATATTCCTGTTATCCTTCGCGATGGCCCTGCTGATACCCATCGCGATGACCACCATGACTCTCTGATGTTGGCTTTAGTTGCCGGCAAAGTAAGTTTTTAGCACATCGAATCGGAGGAGGTGGCTTTACTAACCGACTCCGCTCCTGTGGCGAACTGCTGAAGATACTCAACTAACGGTTGCCTGTATGATATGTACATATATAAATATATATATACACTTAACTTAAACTAATCGGTAGCTACGAATTTTTGGGATTTGGCTAATTGTGAGAGGCAGACCCGTAACAATAAAGATACAGTTAATTGAAAGACAAGCAAATCGGTTTATGTCCACTCGTAATTGATAAGTTTTATATACATACATACAAACAAAGTGTATTTATAAGTAGTGGAACAAGTCATGTGCTGGGCTGATTTTTTTCAGTTCTACATTTAAGTTCTTCCAACAAATGACTTTGATTTTCATGCAGAAAATTTGTTAAGCTCGTTAGCATCAGTAATTTCTTCCGCTCGTAAACTTCCAATAAAAAGTTATATTTATAGCTGTCTCAAACTGAAACTTATTCATCCGAATATTGCCTTTTATCCCCCTTTCCCTCCCATTTATCGCCCAATGCATGACGTTGTGTCTTGGCCAACATTTAAGGTAATTAATGCAATTGATTACATACACAGAACCATACACACACCAGCGAACATATGATGATTCCTAACACACTCACACACTTAGAGCCTAGTTATTAAACAATTTTGCATCTTCATAGATCAACCTAGGAGGATAAGTTGTTAATAATAGTTGCATAACTATTTTTAAAGCGAATTTGCAAGAGAAACGTATAATACGAAGTCTAGATTTATTTGCCTATAATTTACAATTTAGACAAGGCCAATAAGTACGTTTAATATAAATACAAATACGCATTTAGATAAATCGAGATATATATAAATAACGATATATACTAATAATATGAACAATTATTGGATAGAAATTATTAATTGTTTTTTAAGCAAGAGTAGCGAACATTGCACAACTAACAGCAAAACTAGAGAACGGTTTGCAAACTTTGCGGGCAGTCAAATTTTAACAACACACACGCAGACATATATAAGTACATATCAGTTTGGCAAAAAAATAATAATAATGGTAAAATAATGAAAGCATAATCGTGTCATATACAGACACACAAAACTCCAAGCAATTTAACTGAGAGGAATAAATTACAAAATAAAAACGTTCCCTTGTTTTTTCGTTCTTTACTCACCATTTCATTGCGTTTTTTATTTGTACCTTTTGATTTCGGTTACAACAATGACAATCGTGATACTAATTGTAGTTGTTTACACGACGATGATGCAAAATGCACAAGTAAAATAATAATAATAATAATGATATTGATAAATAAACTATTGAACGAGACAAAGTGGACAAATGAATTATGGCAAAACAAACACTTTGAAAAAGCTGCTGGTAAAGCAATTCTTTTTTAAACTAACCATTATTTCAGTTATCTGCCCAAACCACGTCCAAAAAATTAAACAAGAACACCAAATGGAATTTTTATCAAATAATATTGTACATATAGCAAACGGAATGGAATGTTCATTATGTTTATTCAAGCCAGCGTTTATTTCCAATTATTTTTTCATTTAACGAACAGCGGCTAAAAAATGCGAAATTAAAAAAAAAAACCGGAGAAGTTAAAGTAGTGAATGAAAAACTGAAAATGAATATCGATACAGAAAATTGAATATGAAATAAATATAAAAATGCTAGAAATATTAACCCTTTGTGTTTAACAATGATGGGAATTGGTTTCAGTTTCCGTTTCCCCGTGTTGCGCCACTTTAACCCCTATCAGGTGCAGACCCCAGAGATTAGCCTCCAATAAGGACTCGTACTCAGGTTGCTCCAACTCCAGATCCGTATCCTGCTGGCCTGCAGATGTTGACCCTTTTACACATTTTAGTGTGAAACTTGACTCGGGGCAAAATAAGTTGCGGGAAATTATGTGCGGGAGACGCGGTCGCCGCAGGTGGCACGACTCTCACCTCCCGACAACTTGTGGCAATTTTCCCTGCCCCTGTTGCTTCCCTTACCACACAAAAACAGCAGCAAGGAAGCTCGTGAAGCGAGGAAACGAGCAGCAAATTTACAAGGAGCAACGGAAGGAGCAGCGGTGGCTGAGGAACCCCTGGTCAGGCCATAATTGGATTATCGGCGCTCAAAAGTGTTTCAATGAGTGCATTCCATTGCAACCAGATCTTGTTCGCCACCCTCGTCAATTTTGCTCGTCTCGTGCTGCAATCAGTGGCGGATACTCTTTTCTCTCCATAAATTGTTGGTATTGGCTATTCTGGTAAAACTTTTGCAAGGTTATTAAACAAATATTGTAAAGTTATCAATCTGCAAAGTTTGTGTTACTTATTTAAAATAAAATTAAAGTGAGTATATAAAATTGTTATGTTTTCGTAAAATCGTTCCCAACAGCAAAATAATATAATAGTCCAGTTAATTGGTCATTTTAACCACAAAAATTTCAAATAATTAGAAAACCCCATATATACAAACAGAAGTTAAAAGTTTTTGAAACAACCCACATTTTTTATCTGAAGAAACGAGAATTGTTTTACTTAAAGTTATGCTCTGTAAAAATAATTGTTGCGCCTTTGATATTCATTAAAACATTCAGAAATGCAAACAACTTACCTTTCATCCAGCAGCCGCGGTGCATTTACGCCGCCGAAGAAGCTGCTCTATAAATAATCCCGACCACTGATGCTCCTTTGAGGGTATTTTCAGGCTCGTCAAGCCGGATTCCCTTTTCAGCTTGTGTGTGGTGCTCCTTCTTGTTCGAGTGCGTGTGTTTTCTTTTTTTTAGGGGATAACTGAAACCTTTCAGCGCTTTTAAGGCTTTCCCCACCCCACTTCTCCCCCCGTTCCCTATTCGTGGACGAGTATGGCCGCGAATTGTGGGCCTGTGTGGTTGTACTTGTTGTTCCTGCGAAGTCCTTTATGCGGACCGGTCTCCCCATGCCGGAGATTGCATGTCGATGCGACTTAATTGCATTTCAGACAGTCCTGCCGACGAGCTGTTCGCCGTGCCCGGCTGTTCGAAATCCCCTCCCCCTTTCACATACTCGCTTTTCCCCTTCCATACCCCTTTCCACAATCCGCTCCTCTGTTGGTTCCTCCGCTCGCCTTTTGCAGTTTTCCCCTCGCCATTTTCCGTGTTGGTCGGAAGGAAGCGGCACTAAGTACAAGTTGTCGGTGGGGATTGCCACTGCAGCTGCAGTAGAAACTGCACCAGCTTTTAAAAATTGCTGCACAGCTAAAAATATGTTTGAGTATCAAAAAGTAGAGAAGCTATTTTCAATTCAAAGGCTTAAATCATTACCCCTTTGTCATTTTAATAGTCAGCAGCATTTAAATAATGGCTAGTTCATAAAACAATTTCTGCTTAATTATTTATTTATTGGTTGGTATATATTTATTGAAACATTGAATAGCATTTAATAGATTTTCCATTTTAAATTAGTTTAATGCTATCATAAAGTTATCAAGCTTTGTAAAAATATTTCTGAAAACTGTTAAACCTTTTTCTTCGGTGGATACGTACTGCAGATGGTAATACTACACACCGCTACTTACTGTTCTTACCTGTATGCCGGCTAACAAGTATCGATATTGTTTCAGCCACATCTCAGCCGAAAGTGAAAGGAAGTGAGCTGCTTGGGGAGCGCCATTAGGAGTTGCAGCAATTTAATAGCCACCAAGGAGCTGACGCCCGAAAACTAAACGTTAAGTTTACCTCGCAGGCATGTTGCCACACATTGGGGTAAAGTACTGACGGTTTTTTTTTTTTTTTGTTTTGTTTTGTGGGCTTCAGGGGCTACGGAGGTGGAGCAGAGCAGAGCACACTTGGCTGTCAAAGCCGGCGACGAGCAGGTAAATTCGAATCCACCCAATTTGCCTGGCACTCGCCGCTACTCACCATTACTAATGCAGATATGCCAGATATCAGGGAATCCAGAGGGGAACTCACACTCAAAGAGTGGGGAAGGTGGAACGAAGGGGCCAGCAGGACTAGCCGGCATAGCAGTAATGGCAAAAACCGCCGACAAATCTGCTGCATTGCCCCCACTAACACACAGACAGTTTGGGAAGAAGGGGAGTGAAGAGGGGAGCGAAAATAGGAGTAATAAGGAGAGTAGAAAGGGCAGTAGAAAGGGCAGTAGAAAGGGGAGTAGAAAGGGGAGTAGAAAGGGGAGTAGAATAGAGAGGGAAAGGGGAAACGAGGACGCTTCCCGTCGCGCCAGCGGGCAAACTAACAGAGTGCTTATTTTAACGAAGTTACAACAACTTTTGCAATACAAACAGTAATGCCAGGGCAGATTCACACTCGGCACAACCGTCCTGCCAGCAAGGATACACGGACACAGATGCAGACACGGGCGAAGATACAGATGCAGATACACAGATACAGATACACATCCACGGGCTGTGCAGCTCACTGCCCCTAAAAGTATGCAACAGCATTGGAAGAGCTAGAAATTAAATGAAATTGGAGAAATATAAATGCTCTTTGAGAGGGAAACTATCTTTAAATTAATTATTTAAAATATACAAAGTAGCTTATATAGATTTATGATTCATAGCAATATGCTTCTTCCACATAAAGTGGTTAATCTTCTTTATGCTGTCATCAAATTTACTTTGTTCCAGCTGTTAAAGTTCCACTGCATTACTTTCTTGTCACCCCGGGGACATCAATCCAATTGTTTCCTGCGTCACAACGAATGCCCGAGCACTTCCCCTTCAAAGGAGAATAGAGCCGGGAAAGAGCATTCAAAAAATTCAGCTAACGTGTGTTACTTGCCGTTTCAGTTCCGTTCGAGAGTCGGTTAGGGCCAAACTGCAGCCATATACACACAGACATGCAAAGAAGGGGGTTACAAACGAGTGTGGAGGGCCAAAAGGGAGCAGAGTGAATTGGAGCTGTGCACCACTAGAAACTTTACGACATGCAAAAATTGTGAGCAGAGAGCGGATATAATTGTCGGTCTTCTCGTAACTTTGCCGTGGGGAGCAGATTAGTTGATTTGTACACACTCGCACACACACACACTCGCACACATACATACATACACATAGTCACAATGTTTTTGGGGCGGGAACTGGCGTCCGAACCGCACGGAAGAGTAAAACGAATCCTTTTAACCAAATGATATGCACTGAACAATTGTTCACTGCTGCACTTTTTCTCCCCCATTGCCACTTTTTTTCCCCTCCACATTTTCAGTATCTGCAGGAGTGTGTGTATTTGACCAAATGTGGGGCAGTAAGGAACAGAGTTTTGCCGTTGTGTTTGTTGTACTGGGCATTGCTCTAACTTTTCCACCACATCGCAATTTAATTTTATAGTCGAAAACACACAGAGCAGCGGTTTCACTGGGCTTCCGTGTGGCGCAGCATTCCCATTTCGCTCCGCAGTTAACATATCCAGGCGGAGATTATAGCTGCGAGTATACGAGTGTATATCCCGGTGTCCCGGTGCTTCATCCGGTTTATGGTTATTTCGGCGAGCGAATCAAAACTAAATCATAAACGATTAGCTCGCCGCTTGACTAGACTGATTAGACCAAATGAACGGAGCGTTCTGCAAGGAGTAGAGTGCGGCTACCTTCCATCCATGATTCGCCCCTTGGGAAATGCTCGGTGGCTCCAACTCGAGCTCAAATCAGTTGGCAGAGCATACATGACTGAGCAATGCAGATGATTCGACGAGGGGCGTCATGTGAGCCTGGCACAAAGAGATGAAAGAGGAGGAGGAGTGGAGGAGGATGGATGGCAGGATATCGAGACCATGACGTTGATGCCGACGAAGGCGGGGTTCTGGGCAAGGATAATGGCCAAAGGTGGCTCGGGACAGGCCAGAGAGCAATTATGTGATTTCTGAGTGGCGAAGCTCGCATTTGTTTAAAAGGAAAACCCTTCAAGGTGGAAATTAAATCTCGGTATCAATTAGTTCAAAGTAACCAAGTGGAGCTCATCAATTAGGCAAGCAAGCTTGTCAACCATTAAATGATTTTTATTTTGCGGCTGCAACCAATTCAAAATGTTTTTTATTGAAAGGTGAGAATGTAATCATAAACATTCAAATATGTTAGGTATTTTATTTGCTATTACAATGCAATCAAAAGTGTTTATATATTTCTATGAAAACAAAGTTTTTAAGTCGTGTAATATGTTTTCATTTTATTTAATATTTAATAAAATTGAATAAAAAAATACAACAAATTTAACGATTTAATTTTGCGCGGTTTGAAACCTTTTAGTGGTTGGACTGCAGCTGGTCATTATAATTAAACAAATATCTGGTGGTTTTGGAAATAAACACCATTCAACGAAAATGTGTATTACATTTAAAACTGTCAAAGAACTAGAGGTGTACATTTTTCACACATTTTTGTAAACAACACATAAATATGCACCTATACCAATCATTTCTGAGTACCAACACTTCAACTGCATTGCCGGTATTTCGAGTCCCAATTATTTAATCCAAATCACTATAACTCGATCAATGATAGATTGCAGCTCGGCTTACAAGCCCATAAGCTTTTGGTCAGGCCCGTTGCTTAGTTTAATTTAAGAGCTAATCAAGAGCTGGGCGGATACGAA